ACCGGGTACTAGACCTAGGTATCCGTTTCACCAAGCTAGCCTTTACAGTAGGGCCATCGAAGATCCAGCTATTTCTTTACTTGGGTCTTCCTAAATGGACTTCTTGTTACCCAATTTCAACAAATTTACATGACCACAAAGACTTATCTAGTGTTTGCACTACTCGATATGTTGGTTTGCATTCCTCTGTGTAACTCCAACATTGCACAGATGCCCCATGACCTGCCAGTCATGCTGATGCGACTGCCATTATAAGTATCTTAACTCAACTGTTAGTAACAGTTGCTGTAATACAAATATTATATAGGTGATTATCTAAATTTTCACCGTCGATGGGATTTGAACACCCAACCTACCACTTGGGGGGTTGACAACTTGACCACTTCACTAAGTCGCCACACTCCTATTAAGTAATCTTTTAGCAGATTATAAATATGATAGCTAATATAAAATTTGTAGACAGACTATTTAAATAGATAGTTAAAAACTGTATATATAACTAGTTGCATACTTACCTTGTACAAATTATATAACTATAATTAAAATCACAATAAAGGTAGTAGTTACCAATAACCAATTACATTAGTGAAAGCAAAATAAATAAATAAATAATATTATATAATATGTTATACTAAAAATCTATTTTGTAACAATACTAATATAATTGCTTAAGTTTAAAAAAATAAATTAAATTAAATTAAATTAAATATAAAAATATATTAATAAAAAATTGTTTGATTTGTATAAAAATTTTGAATAAAGATATAATAATTTAGTAAAGTAGATAAGTTATTAATCTTTTAAGTAATAGGTTATAAGTTTAAAACTTATTAACAGTAAAAATTTAAATAATAGTTTATATAATATTTATATTTTAACAACTAAAAGCTTGCAAATTACTTATTTTTGAAGCCTGACACAGGTTAAATGAACAAATAAAGGGTGAATAATAGGTAAATAATAAAAAAAAAACTGCTATTATTCTACTCTATATCTGCCAAATAATGACAACATAACAGCAACATAATAGCAGAATAATAGTAAAATAACAGAAGGTTTGTTAATATAAGTAACATAATAGTAACATAATAGCAAAATAATAGAACAGTTCTATTATTTTACTTTTAGTCTTTGTAACTAAAAGTAAAATAATAGAACTGTTTTATTATTTTACTATTATGTTACTATTATGTTACTTATATTGACAAACCTTCTGTTATTTTACTGTTATTTTGCTGTTATACTATTGTTATGCTGCCATTATTTGGCAAATATAGAGTAAAATAATGACAGATTTTTTTTTTATTATTTATCTATTATTTACCTTTTTATTTATTCATTCAACCTATATGAGCTGGCTTATATTTAGAGTTAAAATTTTTTTACTAATCTAGCTTAACTTATATATATTAAAAATTTTTTTTAACCCAGCTGGCCCAGCCTGACCTACAATATTTCTTATATAATTTTATAAAATTTTAAGTTCAGTCTGATTTGCAATTATAAAATTTTGCTTTAGGCCTGATTTGACTTACAAATTTTTGCAAACCAGACTGCAGAACCTAATGCAAGTTTCTAATAATAACTATTTTTAATAATTAGATTAATATATCTATAATTATAATTATATCAACATAACTGACAAATCATAAAATATTTATATAATTAATTATTAAAAGAGATGTAAACTGATCTCAGATGATACAAATTCAAGATAAGTTCTTGTAATCATGTAAATTCATAAAAATTAGAAAACAAAAAATTTATTTGAGAAAACCTAAACAGAGAAGTAGTATAAATATTTGATAATACTATTATAAAAACTAGACTTAAGAAACAGATACTAATCTAAAGAAATCAGATAAGTAAGAACCTTTAAATAGAAGATATCTAATTAGGTCACTGATATTCTAACCAAAAGAATCAAAAAAAAAGAATATTAGACTGATCTAATATACTAATATACTAATTATAATTCTACTAGACTATTTGGATTGAAAATCTGAAAATAAAATAAAAGTATATTAAAATATTTTAGATATGTTATAAATTAGTACTAAGATTTAGATAAACTTTATAAAGGTTAATGATTTAATAACTAGTCTTGATTACAAATATTGGTTCAACTATAATGATATTGAGTCAACTATAAAATAGGTATTAGAAGACTTTGAAAGGTTTACTTCAAGAATAAAATAATTCTAAGATTAAAATAATAATTTGAACATGTTCCAATGAAATTAATATAGGTTGCAAGTTCAGAAGATTTAAAATGAAACACCCAAGCAGAAATGTTAGATATGACAATGTAGAAAAGTTATATGTATAATCAATTACACACTTTTCCTGTAGTAGTACCATATGAAACCATATCACCAAAAAATGTTAATAAAAATCAAAAAACCCAAGAGATCATCTTAAAAAAATAAAAAAAATAAAAATAAAAATTTTAAATATATATATATTAATCTCTTGAACTTTACTTAATAACATATAATTGATTTACTTAGTCAAATTTTGACTTTACTATATAAAAACGTGACTTTGCATCCAAAAAATACCAAATTATTTTTTAATATTTTTAATATAAATGAATCAAAAGATGATGCTCATTTCGCCAACAATCACTTCACCGCAGTCCATTTCATCAACAGTTAATTTACTGACAAGTTTATTTCATCAACGGTTATTTTACCGACAAAGTAATTCAGATCATTTTCATTAGGTCAGATTAGAATTAGAGTTAAGGTTAGTGCAATTTTTTAAAAATACTTGTCGGCAAAATGGGCTGTCGTTGAAATAGTTGTCGGTAAAATGGATTGTCGGTGAAATGACAATCAAAGCCGAATTTTTGATTATCAAAGGGTATAGAAGTATAAGTATGTCACTTCGCTCCAGACAATAATCTTTACTACATTAATCTTAATAAATCAATAATCAATGTTCATGGTTTGTATTGTAAATCGGACCAATATAAGTGATGACAATTTTATATCATGATTTTATTGTATGTATTATTGTAGGGATGCACAACATTAAAGATTATATACACAAGTTATCGTTTGAATTATTATCATATATATAATAGTAAAATAAGGACAGGTATAATAAAATAAAATATAAATGTATACACGTAAACGGACAGTAAACTATTTTTGTAAAACGTCATCGTCAGGTTCTAGGTTATCATCGACATAGTCTTTAACAGAAGCTTCTTGAATAGATTCTGGATCCGATTCATGTAAAACAACAACGATAGGTTCTTCTTCTACCACTGTCTGCTTGTGAACAGAAGAACTAAAGTTGTTTGAATAGTGTATTAATTAAAACAAGATATCAAACATGGTTCACAGCATGCTTTTTTAGTGAAATAATGAATACCTCTCTTGTTGTTGGGTTGGTCCCTGAGTCGATTCAGGACACTGAGTAGATGTTTCTGTAGGATCCGTAGGTGTATCCGTAGATGTTCCTGTAGGATTTGTAGTAGATGTTTCTGTATCCGTAGGTGTTTCTGTATTAGTAGTAGGTGTTTCTGTATCCGTAGATGTTCCTGTAGGATCTGTAGTAGATGTTTCTGTATCCGTAGGTGTTTCTGTATTAGTAGTAGGTGTTTCTGTATCCGTAGATGTTCCCGTAGGACCCGTAGTAGGTGTTTCTGTATCCGTAGATGTTCCCGTAGGACCCGTAGTAGGTGTTTCTGTATCCGTAGATGTTCCTGTAGGATCTGTAGTAGGTGTTTCTGTATCCGTAGATGTTCCTGTAGGATCTGTAGTAGGTGTTTCTGTATCCGTAGATGTACCTGTAGGATCTGTAGTAGATGTTTCTGTATCCGTAGATGTTCCTGTAGGATCAGTAGTAGGTGTTTCTGTATCCGTAGATGTTCCTGTAGGACCCTGAGTTATTGGTTGAGTAGGTTGGATTCCCATCATAAATGGCATTGGCTGAAATCCCATACAGTTACCAAGCTTGTGAAAATATTCAAAAGGACACATTTGACACCCGCCATGGTAAAAAAAAGACTCATCACAGGGCGCCGAATCAAACGGCTGCATCATAGCTTCTTGCTGTGGCATCATCATATCTTGCTGTGGCATCATCATATCTTGCTGCGGCATCATCATATCTTGCTGCGGCATCATCATATCTTGCTGCGGCATCATATTTTGCTGCGGCATCATCATGTCTTGCCGCGGAATCATATTTTTTCGTGGAATAGGTGGTTGTTCTTTCATATACTGGTCGGCGTGGTCATTTTGACCACTCTGTGGTAAAGCTTGTGCAATAGCTATAGAAGCAATCAGGATGAGGCAAGTAAAATCGGCTTTCATCATGTATAATAAATCGTTGGATCTTTTAATATCAACTGTTCTTTTGTTATTTACAAGTAAAATCGAACACTTTATATTAAAAATCTTTACGCACAAATGCATTTTCAGTCCTATATTCACAAATAAATATATTTAACATAATCATTTTATTGCATCAATTTCTCTGAATTTTTATCAATTAATTCAATTCATTGTATATATCATGATAAAAAATTACGCGTATTACCATTATAATAAATTAAATTAATTGATATTTCGACGTTTACAACTAAAATTATTATTTTTTCGCAATTACTAAAAGTAATAATGTGGTTGGCTTCAAACATACCACCCGTCTCGATTTGTAAGCTTGAACTAAACCAAGCTTTCATTTAGAAAATATTATAAAATTATCTTTTAGATTAATATATAGTTATGAAACATATATTTTCCAGAATGCTATTTAATATATATGGTGCTACACTAGGATACTGTAGTGATAAATTTTTATTTTTATTACAATATATAGACTTTGAGACACATTTCACCTCAGATGGCCGATCCACCAATCAAACATGCACTTTAGTTTTTCAATTCCTCTTAAATTTTTCGATAAATTCACTATTAATATGGAGTTACTAATGCTAAAAGGAAATTCACATTTGTGATAAAACATTTCATTTATCTAAACTGAATTAGAAAGATTTTTTGAACCAGATCTGATCTGCTATAAAGTTAGAGATTCCGAGAGTCGCACTATTCTTCCAATATTGAATTCTAAATTAAGATAACTTCAAGACGACCTAACCTTAAATATTGAGAAAGTAATTTTCAGGAAAATAGTAAGAACCGATCCTGGAGAACAAGTGAAACTTTTTGGCATTTTTAAACGCTTTTAATTTGGTAATTTAGTTAACATAAATTTGATTATTCGTATTAACTACAGAACTATATTAAAAAAATTTGATTGTTTCACAAAATTCAGACATTGAATAATTGTGTAACATTTATGTTTCAGTTATTCTGCCCATTGATAATCTGGACAGCCCTGGGTGTGCTATTGCCGCAATATTAATATTTGTGATCCTCACCAACAAAATGACCTTTTGGGATTATATAAATTATAATCCCAAAGAGTTTGTTTTGTTAGCAAAAATCTCATTCACTTCAACTTGAAGTGAAAGTTCGGATCACTAAATGCTGGTGTCGTCGATAATCTAAAATATGTCCCGTGCCGAAATTTATCCGAATTTCATTTTTGATTTTCGGGCCCTTTATACATACCGGTATAGAGATGGGCACTATGCAGCATGGTGCTTAATTGTTACATGATTATCAAATTTGCCGCTAAAAAAAATTTTTTTTGACCGATTTTTGTACAATTGTCTCAAATTTTATTAAGACGCATCCCCATATTCCCTAAGCTAAAATAAAAATGCATTACATGCTAGATGTCATGTAGTTCTTACCTCGAGAAATTTCCTTAGCACTACTCCTAAAACCAACTAAATATGGTTGACTGTACTATAGTCTTTACGATCAGTAAAAAAGGTACCTTCACGTGACAATCATGAAAGATCTTCACGATCGTCACCTTTCATAATATGATATTAAGATTCTTCACGACCAACTTCACAGAACTGATTTTGGGAGCAATATGAGGAAGATAATGTGACTCAAAAGTTCAGATAAAATGGCACACTTTACAGCCATTGTGTGAACCTATCCTTTGTTTGAATCATTTCGAGTATGTCACATTGCGACTATCGAGTGTAATGTGTGGTTTGAGTCAGCATAGCTGATTGTAATAAATATCTTCATAAAAAAAAAATTTTTTTTTATATTCTACTTCATCCAATTATTTTAGCGGGCAAATTTGCCGCTAAACCGGACGGTTTACGGGATAATTATGAAAATCACAACGGACGTTAATTTTTACATATTCACATGCAACATATTTAAATACTATGTTTAGTTTTACCATGTTAAACGCAATGTCAACAAAAATTTGGTTTTATTGGCTGATCTGCAAGTATTCTGATTGGCCAAAATTAAATATTAATATATGTTATTTCTCCAATACTTTTATAACGTTTCGTGAAACGATTAATTTTTTATTTGCTCATGTGAATTTTGAAACATTATTCAAAAAGAAAATTTATTTTCATTAGTTATTTTACTTTAACGGCTAAAAAAATCCAGTTATAATTTCGTACTATGTATTGAGATTGTCAAAATCATTTTTAATAAAAGTTGGTGAAACACTTATCCCACTTATCCCAAACGTTTGTATAAAGCAAATGTTCAAAAAACAATCTGACAAAATTTTAGATAGCTTTGATTATAAAAAATTTCAGTCTTATTTAGATTAAAATTTCCTATTGTAAAATAATATAAAAACTCGTGTAACAGTACTCCAATCAAACTAAATTTATATCATGCTTCCATCATCGTGGTTTAAATTATCAGTTGCAGAACACAAACCTAAGTCCGGAAACAATAAGCTAGAAATCTTGATGGCCGGTATCAGTTAGTTTTAGTTAGATAACGATAAGAAATGTACACAAGTATTAATGATCTGCACATTCGTGCAACATACGATTTTTAATAAATAACCTGTTTCATACGTGTAAGTATTAGTTTTGGATTTTTTACAGGGCAATCACCGAAATTCCTGGTCGGAATGCATCGACATTAGGTTAGGGCTAGCTATACTGGGTTAGTAGAAACTATAGTAAAATTATCAGCTGGGCGCTTTGTACTTAATGAACGACTATGATTTCATTAGTAAAATTTTTAGTGATCTTGGGCAAAATTGATTAATTCCGACCCATCCGACCGGGGTTTGATGCATTCCGACCAGGAATTTTGGTGATTGCCCTGTATGAGTTTAGTTTAAGAGCTTAAAGAAAACATAATTTATACTAAAATTCTCAAGGAACCTTTTTGTTAGAACCTCAAAGTAGCTTTATTAATAATAATTGGAAACTGATCTTTCCACGCCTCATTTTGATATTGTCACACCCTAATGATTACGTATAAGTTTAAATATTTTACATAATTGTATAATAAAATTGATCCGCTGAGTTTGCAGAATCTTTTTAGCACAACCATTCAAATATCAAGATTAGATAAAAATCAAATCGTTCTATTCTGATTTGATTTGGTTTATATTGTTATTTGCAATTACAAAATCTTGGAACAACAAAATGCATCTAATTTTGGTTACGTAAAATTGTTACATATATATTAAAGTAATACGTAGTACGTATTAATAAATTTTTTTTTTTTAGTTCAATTTACTGTTAATCATTAAAATATTAGAATAGTTAATCTTACTATGACGATGCAATATCAAAATAAATTGTGACAATATGGGGTCATTGCCTTGAAAATGACCTTATGGGATATAGTAATTGCTATGTTCCGTAGGGTCATTTTCAAGGCAAAGACCCCATATTAGTTTCTAAAAATTTTGAGAAATAACAATATATACATATAATGTAAAATAGAAATTCTCTATTATAAAATATATACAATATATTTAAACATAAATACAGTATACGTACGTATAACAAAACTTATTAAAACGTATTATATACTTATTTTATAATTTAAAATCTTATTTATAATATTCAAGATTATAATTTTTGAATTTTATAATTTATTGCATATATATTGCACTCTTTCTGTTATTTAAAATTTGTTTATAAAACCACTTTTGAAGTTCTAATAAAAAATTATTTATAAAAGTAATATATACCTTATGCCTTGCCTTATCTTAAATCTCTAACTCTAATATTAATAAAAATTTATTTGTTTTAATATAAATTTTTTTCATTACACAAAATTGATGACCTTTATATAGTAAAATATGTGTGCAATCATCAATAAATTAAAATTTTTTATTTTAAAATTATATATATTTTTTAGCTATTACTATACAATATATAATTTTATTTATATAATATTTTTAGTTTTTTAAAAAGCAAAAATATTTAAAAAATTTTATCTAAAATTGCTTATAATTTAAAAGATAATTTACAAGATTTAACATGCAAAAACTTAAATTGTTAATTAACAATTTTAAAAAATTTAAGTTTGTAAATAAACCAATTTTTATAATAAAACATTTATAATTTAATATAATTCAATCTAATGCTAATTTAAATAATTAAAAAAAAAATTGAATAATTTATTTGCCTTATTTACCAATTTTTATTATTAATTTATTCTATTAATAATTTAAATAAAATATATTGTACAATTAATTAAAAACCACTATTATTGTATATTAATTTTGCATAAATTCAACTTTTTACATAATATATAAATATATATTAATCTGGTTTAAAAATTATTTGTAAATAATTCATTAAAGTTTTTTGTAAAAAAATAACAATTTTCTTTTTATATATAAAATATAATTTTAAAACAAAAAAATCTTTTTACAACCTTTACAGAATCGAGAAAAACTCAATACATTCTACTTTATATAACATATATATATATATATGTATATATATATAAAATAAATACTTTAAAAAAATAGTTACAAAGAGAAGATAGTATTACAAAACAATCCCGTATGCTCTTAAAGTACTGATTTCAAACTATAATAACCAACTTTATAAATTTGCCCTTGAATAGTTTCGTTTCGAACGAATCTAATGTTCATTGTAATACTTAAATTAAAATAACCAAAGATGGTGTAGATGAAAGTGATTAATGTCGTAAAATGTTACATCGGAAATAATGGCATAATGGAAAAATAGTAATGTGAAAGGAAGGGAAGTAAAAAAATATTAGTAAATCATAATTATATAAAAGTATCACACAATAGTTTGAAATTAACTTTACAAAAGCAAAGGAATTCTTTTTTTTCGAAAGCATTATAAAATTAGAAATAAGGAGTAAGAAAATAAATTTAAAACCTTAACCATAAATGAAAATCTTAATGCTCTGACTAAACAACAAAATATCCAATAACAAAGTTTGAATCAAATTCAAAAAAAAACTCA